GGCTGGAGTACAATGGCATGATCTTGGCTTACTGCAACCTTCATCTCCCGGGTTCAAGCGATTCTCCTGCCACAGCCTCCTAACTAGCTGGGATTACAGGTGACTGCCACCACACCCAGCTAATTTTTTGTATTTTTAGTAGAGACAGGGTTTCACCATGTTGGCCAGGCTGATCTTAAAGTCCTGACCTCAGGTGATCTACCTACCTCGGTCTCCCAAAGTGCTGGGATTACAGGTGTGAGCCACCGCACCCAGCCATAAGTATTCCTTCTTTTTTTTCTTTTCAGCCTTGCAAGCATCTTTTTATTTTTATTTTTTACTTTTTAGTAATAATCATTCTGACTAGTGTGAGATTGTATCTCATTGTGATTTTTCTTTACATTTCTCTAATTATTAAGAATGAGCATTTTTAAATATGCTTGTTAGCCACATATATGTCTTCTCTTGAATATCTGTTCATGCTTTTTCCCTGCTTAATGAGGTTTTTTTTTGCTTAAGTTAATAAACTTGCTTAAGTTCTATATCGATTTTGGATATTAGACATTTGGCAGAAGCATAATTTGCAAATATTTTCTATTATTCTGTAGATTGTCTTTTTACTCTGTGGACAGTTTCCTTTGCTGTGAAAAAAGCTCTTTAAAAGGTCCCATTTGTCCATTTTTGCTTTTGTTGCAATTGCTTTTGGTATCTTCATCATGAAATCTTTAATAGTTCCTATGTCTAGAATGGTATTTCCTAAATTATCTTCCAGGTTTTTTTTTTATAATTTTGAGTTTCACATTTAAATCTTTAATTTATCTTGAGTTGATTTTTGTATATAGTGTAAGAAAGAGGTCCAGTTTCAGTCTTCTCCATAGTGCTATCTAGTTATTCCAGCACCATTTATTAAAGAGGGAATTCTTCCTACATTCCTCTTGTCAGCTTTGTAGAACACATGGTTGTAGGTGTGTGGCATAATTTCTGGGCTCTCTATCGTGTTGCATTGGTTTACGAGCCTGTTATTTTGTACCAGTACCATGCTGCTTTGGTAACTGTGGCCCAGTAGTATAGTTTGAAGTCAGGTAATGTAATGCCTCCAGCTTTATTCTTTTTGTTTAGGATTGCCTTGGCTTTTCAAGATTTTTTTGTTTGTTTCATATGAATTTTAAAATAATTTTATTTATTTTTTTTTTCGGTTAAGAATCTTTTTGGTAATTTGATAAAATAGCATTAAATCTGTAAATTTCTGTGGGCAGTATGTCCATTTTAATGATACTGATCTTTTCTATCCATGAGCATTCACTAATCTTCCATTTGTGTCATCTTAGACTTCTTTCAGCAGTGTTTTGTAATTCTTGTAATAATAGATCTTTCACTTCCCTGGTTAGCTGTATTCCTAGATTATTTTTTTGTGGGAATTGTAAATGGGATTGGTTTTCATTTGGCTTGAACGTTTTTGATATACCAGGGATGCTACTGATTTTTATACATTTATTTTGTATCCTTAAACTTTTCTGAAGTTGTCATTTTTAAGTGCTTTTCTATAGAAAATACAGGGTTTTCTAGGTATAGAATCATGTCATCTGGAAATGGGGTAGTTTAACTTCCTCTCTTCCTGGTTGGATGCATCTTTTGTTTGTTTTTTGTTTGTTTTTTGCCTGACTGTTCTGGCCAGGACTTAAAATTCTATGTTAAATCGGAGTGGTGAGAGAAGGCATCCTTGTCTTTTGCCAGTTTTCAAGGAGAAATTCTCCCAGCTTGTGTCCATTCAGTATGCTGACTATGGGTTTGTTGTAGATAACTCATTACTTTGAGGAATATACCTTTAATGCCTAGTTTGTTTAAAGTTTTTTACATGAAGTATGTTAAATTTTATCAAAAGCTTTTTCTGCATCTATTGATAATCTTGTGGGTTTTGTGTTTCGTTTTGTTTATGTGGTGAATAACATTTATTGATTGGTGTATGTAGAATCAACCTTGCATTTTAAAATAAAGCCTACTTGATTATAGTGAACTAGCTTTTTGTTGTGCTACTGAATTTGGTTTTCCAGTATTTTTTGAGAATTTTTTCATCAATGTTAATCAAGGATATTGGCCTACATGAAGTTTTCTATTTCTTTTTTATATCTCTGGCAGGTTTTGGTATCCGAATAATATTGTTCTTATATAATGAGTTGGGGAGGAGTTTCTTCTGAATTTCTTTGGAATAGTTTTTGTAGGAACGGTATCAGCTCTTTTTGTACATCTGGTAGCATTTAGCAGTGAATCTGTCTTGTCCAGGACTTTTTTTTATTTGGTAGGCTATTTATTACTAACTCAGTTTTGGAGCTTGTTATTGGTCTATTCAGGGATTCAATTCCTTTTTTCTTCAGTCTTGCGAGGTTGTATTTGTCCATAAATTTTCATTTTTTTCTAGAGTTTCTTGTTTGTTTTCATAGAAGTGTTCATGGTAGATTTCAAGCTATTTGTCTTTTTGTAGGTTCATTGGTAATGTCCATTTTGTCATTTCTAATTGTATTTTTGTGAATCTTCTTTCTTCATTAATCTAGCTACTGGTTTATTAAGTTTTTCAAAGATTTAACTTCTGAATTTCTTTCTTTTTTTAAAATTTATTTATTTTTTATTTTTTATTTTTTTGAGACGGAGTTTCACTCACGTTACCCAGGCTGGAGTGCAATGGCGCATCTCGGCTCACCGCAACCTCCGCCTCCTGGGTTCAGGCAATTCTCCTGCCTCAGCCTCCTGAGTAGCTGGGATTACAGGCACGCGCCACCATGCCTAGCTAATTTTTTGTATTTTTAGTAGAGACGGGGTTTCACCATGTTGACCAGGATGGTCTCGATCTCTTGACCTCGTGATCCACCCGCCTTGGCCTCCCAAAGTGCTGGGTTTACAGGCTTGAGCCACCGCGCCCAGCCCTAAATTTATTTTTATTTTTAGTAGAGACAGGGTTTCACCATGTTGGCCAGGCTGGTCTTGAACTCCTGACCTCAAGTGATCCACCTGGCTTGTCCTCCCTAAGCGCTGGGGTTACAGGTGTGAGCCACCCTCTGAATTTCTTAATATTTTATATAGTTTTTTTAATGTCTAAATCTCCTTAAGTTCATATCTGATTTCAGTTATTTCTTGTCTTCTGCTAATTTAAGGGTTGATTTCCTCTTGCTTCTCTCATTCTTTTTTTTTTTTTTTTTTTTTTTTTGAGACAGAGTTTTGCTCTTGTTGCCCAGGCCTGAGTGCATTGGCACAATCTTGGCTCATTGCAACCTCCACCTCCTGGATCCAAGTGATTCTACAGCCTCAACCTCCTGAGTAGCTGGGATTATAGGCATATACCATCATGCCTGGTTAATTTTTGTATTTTTAGTAGAGATGGCATTTCACCATGTTGGCCAGGCTGGTCTTGAACTTGACACCTCAGGTGATCTGCCTACCTTGGCCTCCCAAAGTGCTGCAATTACAGGTGTGAGCCACTGTGCCCAGCCTCATTCTTTTATTTATGATATTAGGTTATTAAATTGAGATCCTTCTAACTTCTTGATATGAGCATTTAATGGCATAAATTTCCCTCTTAATACTGCCTCAGCTATGTTGTAGGGTTTCTGGTATGTTCTTACTTGTTTTTATTCTCATTTGTTTTAAGAAACTTCTTGATTCCTGTCTCAATTCCATTATTTACCCAAATGTCATTCAACTGCAGGTTTAAATTCCATGTAATTGTATGGCTCACTGCAACCTCTGCCTTGTGGGTTCAAGCGATTTTTGTGCCTCAGCCTCCTGAGTAGCTGGAATCACAGGTATCCGCCACCATACTTGGCTAATTTTTGTAATTTTAGTAGAGTTGACATGGTTTCACCATGTGGGCCAGGTTGGTCTTAAGCTGACCTGACTCGGCCTCCCAAAGTGTTGGGATTACCGGCGTGAGCCACCATTCTGGCCGTTTATGTTGTTTTTAGGAGAGTTCTGTAGATTTCTATTAGGATTATTTTATCAAATATCGAATTTAAGTCCTAATATCTTGTGAATTTGCTGCCTCAATAATCTGTCTAATAGTGTCTGTGGGGTGTTGTTGTCTCCCACTATTACTGTGTCAGAACCGAAGTCTGTCATGCGCCACTATACCCTGCTATTTTTTTTTTTTTTTTTTTTTTTTTTTTTAGTAGAGACGAGGTTTGGCCATGTTGGTCAGGCTGGTCTTGAACGCCTGTGTTTTTCTGTGTGCCTCAGCACATCATACAAATTTGTCCTAGTTCAGTTGATGTTAATGATTCACTTGGTTAAATAACTCTCTGACACATTTTTTTTCTTACCATAGACTTAATTATTTTTCTCTTCATTATTAAGCATCTTTATGCAGCTGATGTGCATAAACCATCATATTTAATCTGAAAGGTGCCCTTCTTTCTTAGGTTTCTTTTGTATATATTTGTCTTTGGAAAATAAAGGCTCTCATCTTTGTTTATAGGTCAGAAAAGCTGGGAAAAACACAGGCTCTTCCACTTACTGGATGTTTGACAAAATATTCTTCTTGAGTCGAAACCATTGTTATTACTGGTGAGCTTGTTAAAAATTCAGAAACTCAGACTTATTACAGATCTTCTGGAAAGAAAATCTGTATAACAAGATCTCCAGTTTATTACTGTTCACATTAAAATTTTAAAGCTGGCTTATAACATGGCATTTCTATCTGAAAAATACAACTCGTTCTGTATGATGTAAATATAGCACTCACAAATGTACATGTTTGTATTTATGTCATTAATTTTATACATTATTATCTGGAAAAGTATCGTGTAAACTGCTATTGTGGATCTTATGCCACTGTCTTTTCTCAGAGTTAGAGAATACATTTGAGCATATTTGTTTTGAAAATTGTTTTATTGGATAATTTTAGTCACTCCTATAAGTTAAAAAAAAAGAAAGTTCTCTTTACTTTCCAATTTCACCTTGAGTCAAATTAAAAATTCTGTCCAGGGCAAGTTGGTAAATATGTTTGTGTGTGTGTGTGTGTGTGTGTTTTTCAGGGACCACTGACATTTAGGGATGTGGCCATAGAATTCTCTCTGGAGGAGTGGCAATGCCTGGACACTGCGCAGCAGAATTTATATAGGCATGTGATGTTAGAGAACTACAGAAACCTGGTCTTCCTGGGTGAGGATAACTTCAATACATAATTTACAATATACCCTAAAGGTTTCATTTATCTTTTCTGTAGAATGGTTTTTGGAAATTTATGCTTTGCATAAATAAGTGTTAGATCCCTGTTTTCAAGAAAATCCTGGAGATTTGTTCATTTAGAAATGAATTTTTCTGTCCAGTTGCAATGGCTTGAGACCAGCCTGACAAACATGGTGACACCTGTGTCTACTAAAAATACAAGAATTAGCTGGGTGTGGTCTCACATGCCTGTAATCCCAGCTACTCAGGAGGCTGAGGCAAGAGAATCGCTTGAACCTGGGAGGTGGAGGTTGCAGTGAGATGAGATCATGCCATTGCATTCCAGCCTGGGCAACAGAGCAAGACTCCATCTCAAAAAAAAAATGAATTTCTTCAAGATATTTCATTTTGACTGGAACTTTCCACATTTCTGAGCTAATCTGTATCCTTCACTCTAGATTAGTGGTAATTCCAAAAATTTAGTGGCATAAAATATTTTTGCCCACACCTTAAAATCTAATTGCCACCACCAGTTTTTGATTCAGTAGTGTTGAGTGGTGAAATTAAGAACATACAAATTTAAAATATTTTCTAAATATTTAGAAATTTATGATATCAATTAAATATTTTGGGATTAATTTACTAGAATATTTTATTACATCCTCTTTACTGAGCACATTACTAGGTTGGTAATTGGAGAATATGAGCAAGATTCATGTTACTCATTTTTGATAAAACAGGTATTGCTGTCTCTAAGCCAGACTTGATCACTTGTCTGGAGCAAGGAAAAGAGCCCTGGAATATGAAGAGACATGCGATGGTAGCCAAACCCCCAGGTAGGTGAGATAGTGAATACAACGGATGACACAGATGGCAGACAGGTCTAAAGGTCAACTAAGGGTCAAGGAGGAAGCCAGTTCTTAAAATGTGATTTGAGTTTTTTTTTCCTTAGTTCTCATATAGGGGCATCTTCTGTCTTATGCTTTTTTTTTTTTCCCCCCCCCTTAGTCTCTCTCTGTCACCCAGGCTGGAGTTTAATGGTGAGATCTCAACTCACTGCAACCTGCGTCTCCTGGGTTCAAGCGATTCTCCTGCCTCAGCTTCCTGAGTAGCTGGGATTACAGGCACATGCCACCACGCCCAGCTAATTTTTGTCTTTTTAGTAGAGACAGGGTTTCACCATGTTGGTCAGGTTGATCTCAAACTCCTGACCTAGTGATCCGCCCTCTTCGGCCTCCCAAAGTGCTAGGATTACAGGCATAAGCCACCACGCCTGGCCTCTGTTTTATGCTTTTACATTCTCTAAGGATTCTACTTTCTCTTCAGTGATCTTTCTTCAAGTTTATGGTAAGAGCTGACCAAAGTCCTCTTCATGGCATGTAACAGACTGCACAGTCTGACTGTTTTTCCATTGTTTCGGGGGACACACAGATACCTCCATAATTTTGAGAATCTCTGTTAAACGGTTTTTCAAGTTCTCTTTTTGCATCACATCTGAAATATATGAGAGTAGTGGTTTCTATTACTTTGGGTTTTTCTATACATTCAATCGTGGTTTTTTTTTTTTTTTTTTGAGATGGAGTTTCACTCATGTTACCCAGGCTGGAGTGCAATGGCACGATCTCGGCTCACCGCAACCTCCGCCTCCTGGGTTCAGGCAATTCTCCTGCCTCAGCCTCCTGAGTAGCTGGGACTACAGGCACGCGCCACCATGCCCAGCTAATTTTTTGTATTTTTAGTAGAGACAGGGTTTCACCATGTTGACCAGGATGGTCTTGATCTCTTGACCTTGTGATCCACCCGCCTCAGCCTCCCAAAGTGCTGGGATTACAGGCTTGAGCCACCGCGCCCGGCCTCAATCATGTTTTTATTACTATAGTCTTGAAATATAGTTTGAAGTTATAATGTGTGATGTCCTACTTTGTTCTTGTTCCTCAAGATTGCTTTGGCTATTCAAAGTTTATTGTGATTCCATGTAAATTTTAGGATTGTATTTTCCATTACTGTGAAAAAAAATACCATTGCAATTTTGATAGGCAGTTTATTCAATCTGTAGATCACTTTGGATAATACAGCACTTTAACAACATTTATTCTTTGAATCCATATACATAAAATATTTTTAAGTTTATTAGTGTCTTCTCTAATTTTTTTTACTGATACATCTTTTATTGTAAAGATTTTTTTTAGGCCGGGTGTCGCTGTTCACGCCTGTAATCTCAGCATGTTTAGAGGCTGAGGTGGGCGGATCACTTAAGGTCAGGAGTTCGAGACCAGCCTTGCCAACATGGCAAAATACTGTCTCTACTAAATATACAAAAAATAAGCCGAGTGTGGAGATGTGTACCTGTAATCCCAGCTACTTGGGATTCTGAGGCAGGACAATCACCTGAACCCCAGAGGTGGAGGTTGCAATGAGCCGAGATCACCCTGCTGTACTCCAGCCTGAGCAACAGAGCAAAACTGTCTCAAAAAAAAAAAAAAGTGTTTTTACCTGCTTAAATTTCTTCTCAGAAATTTATGATTTAATACTATTGTAAATAAGATTGTTTTCTTTCTCTATTTTATCAGTTTAAGTATATGAAACTATAACATACACTTGTATGTTATTTTAAATTTTGCTAATTTACTGAATGTATTTATTAAACAGGTTTTCATGTACTAGCTGTGTTTTTTTTTTAATTTTGTTTTGTTTTGTTTCTGTTGTTGTTGTTGTTTTGACATAGTCTCACTCTGTTGCCCAGGCTGGAGTGCAGTGGTGCTATCTCAGCTTACTACAACCTCCGACTCTCTGATTCAAGTGATTCTCCTGCCTCAGCCTCACAAGTAGCTGGGTTTACAGTCACATACCACCATGCCCAGATAATTTTTGTATTTTTAGTAGAGACAGGGTTTCACCATGTAGGCCAGGATGGTCTCAATCTCCTGACTTCATGATCCACCCACCTCAGTCTGCCAAAGTGCTGGGACTACAGGCATGAGCCGCCATACCCGGCTAGTTGTGATTTTTAAAAGATGAGATCATATGATCTACTACAGCAACTTTTTACTTATTTGTCCTCAATTTTAATGGCTGGCTGGCTTCCTTCCTTCCTTCCTTCCTTCCTTTCACTAATTCTTCTAATACATATGTCCATTGCTAGTTAAAATAGAGCAGTTGACAATGGCACAATATAGTTTTGCATTGGTGTTTATAGATTTGAAGAAACAAACACCTCTTCAAGTTTTTATAATCTGGTTTCAGGAGGTAAAGATCTTTTTATGTTGCACCCCCAGGGTGATGGGATGCCCCCTGGGTTTGTAGTGGAGAAGGGTGTAGTGCTCACAAGGATTTTGGGTCTGCACTAGGGTCCACCTTTAGTTGGTTTGTTAGAAGAAGCTTGGGTGGTTGTAATTCCCATTATATTTCTGGACAGACTGAATCTTTCAGGACTTTGCTTTGTAGGGCAGACACCAGGACAGGTTTTTGCAGTTCGGTCTGCATATGATGGCCCTTGTATCAGCATGTGGATGAGTCTGGCTTTCACTGAGTACCAGACAGGATTTCCCCAGGTCACTGTGTGGGTTTCTATGTAGGCAGAACTGGCCATGAACTATACCTCAGGGAGCTGGAACTGAGTCATTGAACTGCATCAGGGACCACAGTAAAGCCAAGGTCTGCAGGCCTCCTGCATGGCTATAAATGAGTATCTTCCTCCAGGCCCCTGAACGTGCAGGACCTCTCCCAGGCTATAGCTGGGAGAACTTTGGGTTGGTTAGAGTAATTTCAGAATTCTCAGTGAGACCAAGTTAGGTGGGCCATTTCCTGGTGTGCTGCTCAAGAACAGGGGTCCTATAGTGTGCCACCTGAACAATGGTCTGCTTTCTGAAGAGAACCCTTCTCAATCTTGGGCTTTAGCAGAGTTTCATAACTCCCTCCCTTGATCTCAAAGATTCTTTAAAGGCACTTATTTTGGAGGTGGGGTGTTGCTGCATAATCCAGGATGGTCTTAAAATTCCTGCCTCAAGCAATTCTCCAACCTGAATGTACCATGTGGCTGTCATTGTGGTGTGAGCCATGATGCCTGATTCTCTCAGATGCATTTTTGTCAGGGATGGCTGACAAATTTTCTTGTTCTGAGGGGATAAGCAAATGGGGCACCTTTTATTATTACATCTTACTTATGTCACTCTCCTTGTATAGTTTTACTTTCTATTTGCTAGTTCAAATTTTTCTGTAATTTTATTTTATATTTCTTTTTCTTTGAGATGAAATTTTTTGCTCTTGTGTCCCAGGCTGGAGTGCAATGGCATGATCTCAGCTCACTGCAGCCGCTTCCTGGGTTTAAGTGATTCTTCTGCCTCAGCCTCCCAAATAGCTGCAATTACAGGCATGCGCCACCACACGCAGCTAATTTTGTATACTTAGAATAGATGAGGTTTCACCATGTTGGTCAGGCTGATCTCAAACTCTTCACCTCAGGAGATCCACCTGCCTCTGCCTCTCAAAGTGCTGTGATTATAGGTGTAAGCCACCACACCCAGTCTTATCTGTAATTTTGGATTCAGACATTTAAGACAATTTGCTATTTAAGACAATATGCTAGAATTTTCATGAGATGCCTGAAGTAAATTATGTAATTAGTAGGCACTTCATATTTACTAAAATAGTTATTTATATTTACTTCATATTTACTAAAGTAGTTATTTATAAATTTAGGCTTGCTGCAGGAAAAAAGAAATTGCAGAATTTTCACACACTTTCTTCAGCCTGTATCTAAATAATAACGTAATTTATTCCTGAATGTTTATTTTATGTATCAGAGGCTCTAACCATATTCTACAATATATATATATATATATATTTTTTCTTTATTTAGCAGTGTAAGGCTATTCTTTGCTTCCAACATTGGATTACAGCAGTTTCATTTTATGTAAGAATAGCATATATTTAAAACATAAAAATGAACTTGTTTTAAATTCTCATTAGAATTTTCTGTTTTTCATTATATTACATTTTAATGAAATTTTACTGCCACACAGTGCATGCCAATGATTCAAATACTTGCCATCCATGAGTACACAGTTATAGTCAAATATTGCAGTCATCTAGACAGATTGCCTTTTTTGTTGTTGTTTTTGAGACAGGCTTGCTCTGTTGCACATGCTGGAGTGCAGTGGTGCAACCTCAGCTCACTGTAGCCTCCACCTCCCAGGTTCAAGTGCAGTTCTCCTGCTTCAGCCTCCTAAGTAACTGGAATTACAGGCATGTGCCACCACACACAGCTAATTTTTGTATTTTTAGTAGAGACAGGGTTTCACCATGTTGGTGAGGCTGGTCTCGAACTCTTGACCTCATCATCCACCCACGTTGGTCTCTCAAAGTGTTGGCATTACAGGTGTGAGCCACCACACCTGGCCTACAAATTCTATTTAATGGTACATCAATGTCGCACACCAGATTTTATGGATCAACATTTTCTTTTATTGTTTTGACATTCCATATTAGTGTTATTTTCTTGTAGATTTCTTAACTTCAGTTTATCGTGTTTTTTGGTTTTACTTCCATATTATTTTAGGCAATTTGCGATTCTGTTTGTATACTTTAAGACATTGTGAGGTTTAATTAAGAGATAGTCATATGTCACCATCAGATATATAATCTGTGTGTTATTGTCAATAAATATGACCTCAATTTTGGTTATGGCTTATTTTGTAATATATTCTCTCTTAGCTGATTTACAGTGATTGTTTTATCAAAGTGAGTAGTCATGGAAATAGTCTTTTCACCATGTGTATAACAATGAATATATATTTTCTTTTTTTTTTTTTTTTTTTCCATTTTATTGCATTTTCGG